ATGAGGTCATGACCTGAGCCGAAGTCGGATGCTCAACTGACTGATCCACCCAGGTGCCCCAATTTCTTTCTTTAAAAAAGTTTATTTTATTTATTTTTGAGAGAGAGAGAGTGCAAGCAGGGGAGAGGCAGAGAGAGAGAGGGAGAGAGAGAATCCCAAACAGGCTCCACACTGTCGGCATGGAATCCGACACAGGACTCAAACTCATGAACTGTAAGATCGTGACCTGAGCTGAATCAAAGAGTTGGACACTTAACTGAATGAGCCACCCAGGTGTCCCTACACTACATAATTTCTACTGCTCTCTCTTCAAGTTCACTTACTTTTCCCTTTACCATCTCCTTTTAGCTATTAAGTATATACAGCAAATATTTTATTTCAAGTGTGTTTTTCTGTTCCAGAATTTTCATTTGTTTCCCTTTCCATTGTTTCTATTTCTCTCCTGAGATTTCCTAACTTTTTATTCATTATGGGAAGAATGTTTGCTTTAAAATTCTTTTTCCAATACCTGATTTACCCTAGGGTTGGGCTAAATTGATTTTCTTTTCTTTTGAGAGGTATTAGTTGTAATTCATTCCAGGCAATGAATTCCCCAAACCAGGTATACATATTATTGCCTGCTAAAGCAAAGCAAAGCAGAGCAAACAACAAACCCAGCACTCATCAGAGGCTAGTAACAGAATTCAGAAGCTCCACAAACTAACAGGTATAATGCTAAGATCCAATCTAAAATTCCTTAGCATACTAACAACCAAGAAAACTGGGGTTTTTTTAGAGGTAGGGGGCAGAAATTCTGGTTTCCGTTTAGATATGTTGTCTTTAGCTGAACTGCTTTGAGTATTCTGTGCCTGCATCTTTCAGGGGTTAGTAAGAGATGTGAGTACAGAATTTGGGGATCCCCTCTCTGTTTCTTTTCTTTCTGGGAGTTCCCACCTCTTCAGTAGCCAAATACTTCACAGTCTCAGTTTTCTGGTTCTCCTAGTCAGAATTCTGCCCTTTCCCCACTGTTTCACATGCAGTATTTTAGCCCCAGGCTCAAATGAAACTAATTTTGTATAACTCCCCTCCTCCTTGTATGTACTTGTTACAAGAGTCTATCTGCTTCTGTTCATTCTCCAGTGCCTTCAGAAATTATGAGAAGATTTGATAGTTTTCTGGTTGGGAGTCATTTGGCATGGTCTTATTCTGTCATTACCAAAAGGAAAATCTGCATAGTTTTTTTTTTTTTTTTAATATTGTTTTAATGTTTATTTATTTTTGAGAGAGAGAGAGAGAGAGAGAGAGCATGAGCAGGGGAGGGGCAGAGAGAGAGAGGGAGACACAGAACTTGAAGTGGGCCCCAGGTTCTGCGTTGTCAGCAACAGAGCCGGACACGGGGCTTGAACCCACGAACTGCAAGATCTTGACCTGAGCCAAAGTCGGATGCTTAACTGACTGAGCAACCAGGCACCCCGGTTTGGTTTTTGTTTTTTTTTTAAAGATGATTTCTGTTACATAATATGTGGTGTGGCTTTTTTTTTTTTCCTAAAAAAATATACTGCTGAACTGGCAAGTTGAATAAGAAAACCCATCTATTCTCAAATCAAGTCTGATACAGTTTTACTCTTTTGTTGATTATTTTTCTTTTATTCCTCTGACTGAGCATGGTTTCAGACTTTATGTCACGCTCTCATCATGAAATCACACTTTGTAGTTTTCCAAGGTGCTAGAGAGAAAAATAGTGAGATTAAGAAAGCATAAAAAAAGAAGACAGTAGTGCTTTGGAATTCTTGGAGTGATCTTGCTGATAAATTTAAGTAAATTGTCAAGCAAAAAATGTACCTTCTCAGATAATCTGAACTTCTTACATAAATAGTAAAATAATTTAAATTGATTTTATTACCTGTCAGTGATGTAGTTGTTTCTGGGTCTCACATCAGCAAAACTGTTTCAGGAACAATTACAACATTGAATTTGTTTTCAAAATTTGATTTCTATTTGAAAGGTATATCAGAGTTTGGATGTCACAATGAGGGTATATATCATTGAAGTGCTATAAAAGTAATAATGTGTATTCATTCTGATAGCTTATGTCTTTTCTTTGTTTAGCAGCATTACTATGGATGGGTTAAAATAACTTTTCTTTCTTTAAAGCAATGTTATGGGAGAAAATTCCACTTGAACTGTAGATGCATTTAAACAAATTTTTTAATGTTTATTTTTGAGAGAGAGAGAGAGAGAGAGAACACAAATGGGGTGGGGAGGGGTAGAGAGAGAGGGAGACACAGAACTGAAACAGGCTCCAGGCTCTGAGCCATCAGCACAGAGCCCGACGTGGGGCTCGAACTCACAGACCATGAGATCATAACCTGAGCCAAAGTCAGACACTTAACTAACTGAGCCACCCAGGCACCCCTAGATGCATTTTTTTAGTGGATGCATTTAAATAAAAGATCTGAAGGCTTTATATTTATTTTTTTTATGTTTATTTATTTGTTTTGAGAGAGAGAGAGCATGTGCTGGGAAGGGGCAGAGAGAAAGGGAAGGAGGGAATCACAAGCAGGTTCCATGCTGTCAGTGCAGAGCCTGATGCCAGGCTCAGTCTTGTGAACTATGAGATCGAACCTGAGCCAAAATCAAGAGTCAGATGCTTCTCTGACTGAGCCACCCAGGCACCCCTGAAGGCTTTATATTTAGAAACCCAGATCAACAAGTGTTATATCAAAACCCTGTTGTAGCAGTAGGATAAATTGAAATTTAAGTCTGAAGCAAAAGCGTGTAAAGGGTTTCTCTTTTGATTTGTCCTGAGGAGTCTCATTCTAATTGCACAGAAATGGGGTAAGGGTAATTGTATGCAAAGAGAGATCTTCATTCTCAGTCTCTGTGGACATTGAGGGCTAATGAGACCTCTTTCTGGACAGATGTCTGTTTTAGGATAACAGAACAGTCCCCAAAGTAAAAGAGGATATAGCTGGGCAAATAAAGCAACTAAAATATTCATCTTGGAGGAAAAACCGTCCTTTAGAAAACGTCTCCCCTAGTGTGCGCATTCTTAGTTTTATACATGGAACAGGTGGCAGTTATCAATTGAATCAGTTATTCATTGATTCATTCATTCAGTAACTGAATGACTTCTATGTGCCAAGGTGCAAGGTACTGTCTTAGTGGGGAAAAAATGTGAAGTATGCCTTTCCCTTAAAGAAATTAAGATCTAGTGAAAAGCAAGAGAAGGGAGGGAAGCTGACATATGGAGCCTGACCCTGTGCCAAGCACGCCTCCATACTTAATTGACATTAACCATCTGAACCCGTCCTACAGACCTGTGAAAAGGCTGCATGGAGTCATGGATAAAGGTCAGGCTTTAGAATCAGATGGCCTATGATCAACTCTCACCTCTGTGTCTCGGTTTCCAACCTCTGTAAAACACAGGTGACAATAGCACCCACCTCACAGGTCTGTTGTGTGGTTTGATGCGAGACTACAGGGGCAGTGCTCAGCATGGTGCCTGCATACAGCAGGTGATCACGTAACAGTGACGAATACTATCATCCTCATTTGTCTCATGAGAAAATCTCTTACTAGTCAATAAATAAGTAGCAGGAGTAAAAATTCTCATCCAGGCCTACCTAACAAAGTTTCAGAAATTCTCATGAAACAATTCTCTCTCCTCAAAATAAAATAATTCTTTTCATGTGTCAGGGGTGGAAAATAAATTCACATTCCCAGATGGAAACCAAAGCCCTAAAAAAATAGAAGATACACCTCAATTGTGACACCTTACTAGCATGGGTCTGCTTACATTCTTTTTTTTTTAATATTTATTATTTTTGACAGAGAGAGAGAGAGAGCGCACGTGTGAGCACACTCGCGCACGTGAATGGGGGAGGGGCAGAGAGCAAGACAGAGACACAGAATCTGAAACAGGCTCCAGGTTCTGAGCTGTCAGCACAGAGCCTGATGCGGGGCTTGAACTCACAAACTATGAGATCATGACCTGAGCTGAAGTTGGACACTTAACCAACTGAGCCACCCAGGTGCCCCACATTCTTCTTTTTTTTTTATGCTTATTTATTTTGAGAGAGAGAGAGAATGCACATGAGTGGGGGGGAGGGGCAGAGAGGGAGGGAGGGAGAGAATCCCAAGCAGGCTCTGTTCTGCCAGTGCAGAGCCCAATGTGGGGCTTGATCTCATAAACGGTGAGGCCATGACCTGAGCTGAAATCAAGAGTTGGATGTCTGTCTAACTGACCGAGCCACCTGGGTGCCCCATACATTCTTTCTTTAAAAATGTTGTCATAGTAAATCAGGAGGAGGCTTACCATGTTTGGTATTAAAGATACTGAGGAATATCAAGATGCACGAGCCACCGGTTTCATCTATTTGCTGTGAAGTAATATGTCCTCTTTGTACTAATGTGTTCATTAGTGAAGCTTATCATAGTTTTATTCTTTGGGGCAAAAATACCTTATTTCCAGGGTTTGCATTGATCTGGGGATTTTTTTTTCTGGATTCAGAGGGGGATTGCAGAATCTAGTATTGATCTGCCTATTGATAAATGCCATTGCATTCAGCAGCCCATGTGCAGTGGAGATAAAGCCCCACCTCCCCCCACTCAGAAAGGGGAGACCATTTCCTGTTCCAAGTGTGGTCGCAGGAATCGCCCGGAAGCTTGCTTCTGTGACTGGTGTGGAGCCACGGTGGGTATTTTAAATCTGAGTTTCTTGGTGCTGAGGCTTCACCACCACCCTAGAGAGGCCCAGCTCCTCCTCTTCCCCTGCCCTACAGAAATCACTTCTTGCAATTTGAAGACTACCACCTATTTACCTAAGACTCCGGAGAGAGAGATGCTTCTCTTAAATTGAGAAAGCTCTGTCATTGCTGTTTCTTTGAGGTTAAACTTTTCCTATTTCTATTTGACTATTGGTATCTTTTATGAATTGTCTGCTTACTTTTCTAATAAAACACTCAAAGTCATTTATTCAAATAAGTGTTGCATGTAAATAATACAAAAGGTTTCGTGTGAAGGGTTAGTCTCCCTTCTCATCCCAGGCCTACAGAGCCTATCCCCAGAAGCAGTCACCGTCACCTAGTGTCTGAGTGTTCTTTGAGCCGTTCAGTGTGCTAATAAGTAAACTGGTAGTTTACTATGAACACTGGCTCAGTTCTTTTCACCTAGCAATATATCTTATTTGTAGCCTCTCATTCTTTTCAGTGGCTCCGTAATATACCACTTTCTGTATGTACCATGATATATTGAGGCCATCCCTATTGCTGGACATTTAGATGGTTTCCAGTTATTTTCTCTAAAACCACAATCCTGTGGGGAATGGTCTTAAATATACTTGCTTTGTGTAATTGTTCATCTGTAGGACAAAGTCTAGAAGGTAGACTTGGGGTCAGGGGTATAGGCATATGTTATTTTGATGGCTGGGGATTGTATGGTATGAGAATAACTTACGTGGAAAAATTAGGACTCTAATATTTATCAAGATGTAAAAATATTTTCTATCCTCTAGCCAGGCATTTCTGCCTGCTACTCTGTTTGCCCCAAATGTGGGGCCAGCAATCACCCATCTGCCCGATTCTGTGGTTCCTGTGGTATTTATGTGAAGTCCTTAGCAAGACTTAGCATGGATAACAACCTGGCTCTTGCCGCTGGAGAACTTCGCCCTTTTGCTGAGGTGAGGCCTCCACTGTAGTAAGAGCTGGTGCCTGGGAAAGAGCTTAGGACTCTGAATTTGTGTTCTCTACCTTGGGGATCAATCCGGGGAGAGAGAGCCAAAATACAGACTTTTCACATGGATTTTCAACTAGGTGTGTAAGTAAATTCAACCAATTCAAGTTTTCAACACTCAAGTGATTTCATCCGCATTCAAAGATCTAAGGGTTTATCTGTAGTAGATTGAGGTCTAATTGCATTTGGAAGACTAATAAAAATAATGTAAGTTGATATAATGTCATGAAGGAGAAGTGGATTTAAAATACGTGAGACAGAAAAAAAGTAAAATAAATACATGAGACAGAATGTCCTTCTCGTGCATTTCTCATGAGGCATACTAGGAACGTTGCTCCCATTGTTTTATGTTTTAGAAAACTTATATCAGGTATATGAAATTGCTGCTGCTATTTAAAACAACTGCATATAGTTTAAGGAAAATCTTACAGGGTTATTTTCAGAATGACTTAATCTCTAACCAGCTTGATATTAGCCTTTTGTGAATTTCTCTAAGCTAGATGAAGACTTTTCAGGTTTCTTTTTAGGTCTTCATTAGAAGAATGTGAAGATTGATAGTCCTTAGAATGCACATGCACTCAGTAATTTTGCACTCATTTTTAGGGAGTTCATGGCCTTCTTAACCCAGACTGAGACTTATGGATCCTGGGAGTGTCAGTAGCCCATATTGACACCTTTGTGCAAATGAGACCAAGGGTTCTTTCTTCAAGACACTAGACTGCCATCTGTTGGAAACTGATTGTAATATACTAATTTTGTTAGACATTTTCTTCCACCTACCAGAAAAACTGTCCTAATAAATTTGCAAATATATGATGCCTACCATGTGAATCTTAGCTCATTAGATGCAGTGATGTTGTGCAGTACACGACCTACACAACCTTACATGATGGTCCTCTCAAGTTCCCATGTCCAGATGCAGGAGTGCCTCAGAGAAAATACCGGTCCCCAGTAGTTGAGTGTGGATGAGTAGTAACTCCATTAGATTGTAGAACTGAGAGGATAGATTTCTTTAGGGCCTCGGGCAGCAAGACAGGGAATATTAGTTTAGTTGATTTGTTGAGTTTGAGATAGTAAATGGCCAAGCAGAAGAGGCTGGCTTTATGGGTCAGGCTGGGAGTTCCTGGGAGAGACAGACCAAGGAAGGTGAGGCAAGGGCTGAAAACCTCTTTTTAGTTCAGAGTACAGTTTCTTGGAGATACTTTTTACTTCTGATTAGAATTCTTTTCTATAAGTAATTATGAAGAATTAATGAAATTATATTCTAGTATCTTATGTTTTCTGCCTTACTCATAGCCCCGATCTGCCTGGCAGTCCCTAAATGTTCCTTTGCTCAGACCTGAGGCTGGGACTCGGAAGGACGTGGGCACACAGACTACTGGCCTGTTCTACCCATCTGGTGCACTACTAGCCAAAAAGGAACTGGAAATGGCTTCTCAAAAGCAGAGGCAGGAGAAAATGAGTGACCATAAACCTCTCCTCACAGCTGTCAGCCCAGGAAGAGGTGAGAGAAAAAGTACACTTTCTTGTCAGGAGGGAATTCCCTCTTTCTCTGAAAGAAAACTGCATTTTTTTTCTTCCTTTAGCTTTATTTCTATACATAAGTAAATCCCTTTGGGGCGCCTGGGTGTCTGAGTCGGTTAAAGCATCCTACTTCAGGTCAGGTCATGATCTCACGGTTTGTGAGTGCAAGCCCCGCATCAGGCTTTCTGCTGTCAGCACAGAGCCCACTTCAGATCCTCTGTCTCCCGCTCTCTCTGCCCCTCCCCCACACCTCTCCTAAAAATAAACAAACATTAAAAAGAAAGAAGTGGGGTGCCTGTGTGGCATCCAACTTTGGCTCAGGTCATGATGGCATGATTCGTGACTTCGAGCCCCACATCGGGCACTCTGCTGTCAGCTCAGAGCCTGCTTTGGATCCTTTGTCCCCTTTTCTCTCTGCCCCTCCCCCACTGGTTCTCTCTCTGTTTTCTCTCAAAATAAATAAATTAATTAAACAAAAAAAAAAGTAAATGGGTCTCCTGGGTGGCTCAGTCTGTTAAGCGTCCGATTTTAGCTCAGATCATGATCTCACAGTTTGTGGGTTCGAGCCTTGTGTCGAGCTCTATGCTGACAGCTCAGAGCTTGGAGCCTGCTTGGAATTCTGTGTCTCCCTCTCTCTCTGCCCCTTCCCCGCTCGTGCTCTCTCTCTCAAAAATAAGTAACATTAAAAATAAATGAATGAATGGATGAATGAATGAATGAAGTAAATCCCTTGGGGTGCCTGGGTGGCTCAGTCGGTTGAGTGTCTGACTTTGGCTCAGGTCATGATCTCATGGTCCGTGAGTTCTATCCCCGCATTGGGCTCTGTGCTGACAGCTCGGAGCCTGAAGCCTGCTTCAGATCCTGTGTCTTCCTCTCTCTCTACTTCTCCCCTGCTCATGCTCTGTCTCTCTCTCAAAATAATAAACATTAAAAAAAAAAAGTAAATTCCATCGTTTTTCTTTAGGTAATTTTCCTTTGTATTATAGCTCTTCCTTAAACTTTTAGTACTCTGATGTTTTGACTCATAGCCCCATCATCTAGTTTGTAAATCAAATAGCACATATGGATTGCAACTATGATGGTAGAAATGTTGTTAGTCTGTGTCATTATTGTTCTCTGCCAATATCTCTCTCTTTTTACTGTTCTAAAATTCACATAACAAAATTCACCATTTTGACCATTTTGAAGTGTACAATTCAGTGATAGTACATTAGCAGCAGTATAGAAACATTACCACGTCCAGAACATTTTCATCACCCCAAAAGTAGTCCTGATACTCTTTTTTGTAATCACTGCTCACATCTCCTGACCCAGGTGCCTGGCAACCACAAATCTACTTCCTGTTTTTTATTTAAAAAAATTTTTTTAATGTTTATTATTTATTTTTGAGAGACAGAGAGAGACAGAGTGCAAGTTAGGGAGAGGCAGAGAGAGAGAGACACACAGAATCTGAAGCAGGCTTCAGGCTCCGAGCTGTCAGCACAGAGCCCGACGTGGGGCTCGAACTCATGAACCGTGAGATCATGACCTGAGCCAAAGTCGGATGCCTAACCGACTGGACCACCCAGGCACCGCTACTTTCTGTTTTTATAGATTAGCCTGTTCTGGACATTTCCTATACACGCATCTCCTGCTTGCCCACAAGAAACCAGAAATCCAGACTCTTGTGACATCTCCCAAGTGTTAAATGGTGGCAGTTAGTGAATTCAAGTGTGTTTAAACCCTGTGCAGACTGTAGAAGGGCACGAGGGAGTTTTTGGAATGATGGAAATGTTCTATGTTTTGATTGGGATGCATATGCTTGCCAGAATTCAAACCGTATACTTAAAAGTTATCTCAATAGGGTTAATTTTAATAGAATAAAATAGGAGTGGCTGGGTGGCTCAGTTGGTTGAGCGTCCAACTCTTGATTTCGGCTCAGATCATGATCTCACGGTTCATGAGTTCGAACCCCACATTGGGCTCTGGGCTGACAGCACAGGACCTGCTTGAGATTCTCCCTTTCTCTCTATCCCTCCACTGCTTGCACTCTGCCTTTGTCAAAAATGAATAAATACACTTTTTAAAAAGATCTATATTTTAATCAATAGGGCAACTATTCAAAAAGAATACCAAGGAATACAGCTAAAAAGCTAATGGGAAAATTTAAATATAATTCTAAAAAGTATTCAAGTTACCCCCCAAAAAACCCCAGGAAAATAGGAACAAAGAAAACAAAACAAATGGGAAAAGTATAAATCAGATAATAAAATGGTAAGTCAAAACCAAAACATATCAATAATTACATTTAATTTTGTGGACTGAACATTTCATTAGAAGGTAGCAATTGTCATCATGGGTTTCGAAAAAACGAAAAAACAGGGGATCCTGGGTGGCTCAGTTGGTTAAGCATCCAACTCTTGATCTCAGCTCAGGTCTTGATCTCAGGGTCATGAGTTCAAGTGCCACACTGGGGTCGTTAAAAAAAAAAAAAAAAAAAAAAACCAACTCTGTGCAAGCCATAGACAAGACCTAACTATGTAGAGTAAAAGTAAATATATAGTAAAAAACACGCTTGCTGAAATTCAGCAGGCGTTGCAAAAGTTATGCCTTCGGGCTTGGTGCCCAGTTGGCAGGGCATCCACCAGCTCAGGTCATGATCTCATGGTTCATGAGTTCAAGCCTCAAGATCAGGGTTTCTGTGCTGACAGCTCCAGCCTGGAGCCTCCCTGTCTCTCTGCCCCTCCCCCACTTGCACTCTGTCTCTGTCTTTCATAACAATAAAAGTTAAAAAAGTTATGTCTCGTTGGTTAATTTTATTTTTTTATTTTCTTTTTTATTTTTCCACTCGTTTAATTCTACCATTTTTTTTCTTTTTTTTTTTATTATGAAGTTTATTGTCAAATTGTTTCCATACAACATCCAGTGTAATATCCCAACAGGTGCCTCAATACCCATCACCCACCCACCCCTCCTCCTCCCACCCCATAAACCTTCAGTTTGTTCCCTCAGTTTTTAGTCTTGCATGGTTCCCTCCCTCTAACTATTTTTTTTTTTCTCCCCCTCCCCCATGGTCATCTGTTGTTTTCAGATCCACATAGAGTTAAGCATGCCGGGAATTGTCCTTCTGTATGACTTATTTCACTTAGCATAACACACCTACAGTTCCCATCCATAGTTGCTACAAAGGCCATATTTCATTCTTTCTCATTACACAGCATTCCATTGTGTATAAGGCATACCTTTATCCATTCATCAGTTGATGGACATTTAGGCTCTTTCCACAATTTGGCTATTGTTGAGAGTGCTGCTATAAACATTGGGTACAAGTGCCCCTATGCATCAGTACTCCTGCATCCCTTGGGTAAATTCCTAGCAGTGCTACTGCTGGGTCATAGGGTAGGTCTTCAATATGGTTAATTTTAAAAGAATAAAATAGGGGGTGCCTGGGTGGCTCAGTTGGTTGAGCACCTGACTCTTGATTTCAGCTAAGGTCATGATCTCATGGTTCATGAGTACAAGCCTTGTGTTGGGCTCTGTGCTGACAGTATGGAGCCTGCTTGGGATTCTCTGTCTCCCTCTCTCTCTCTTCAAAATATGTTCTTTTGATATTCTGTACTATGTTGTGATTAATCATGTGTAATTAAAAAAAAAGCAGGGAACAAAAATGGAACTTATTCTAGTACATAGTCAAGGTTCAGTAAGCCAAACCATCACAAAATTTGACCCAAAAAATAGTAACCTCTCTGAGTATGCATGTTGCAAACTAGCATTTTTCTTTCTTGGCTTCAGAAGAATTATCCACGTGGATGGGTTTCTCTTTTTCTTTAGGGTACTGGAGAAAACAGTTGGATCATATCTCTGCTCACCTCAGGTCTTATGCTCAGAACAACCCTGAGTTCAGGGCTTTGATTGCAGAACCCAGAATGGGAAAGGTGGGTGAGCTCTGACTGGAATTTCCACGCCAGAGCATCGCATGGGGTCAGGCTGCAGTTCCCCTCCACTGACTTCACCTGAAATCGCACTTTGCTTGGCTCCTTTCCCTTTCCTGTCCTGCTTTCCACACTTCTTTACTGCCCTCCCCTACAAGCACGGCCTCAATAAATCACCTGTGCATGAACCTTGTCTCAGGGTCTGTTTCTGGGCACCTGACCTAAGCAAGGTAAAATAGTAAATTGTGAACCATCCATGCTTTTACATTCCACGTGCTATGGAGATTCTTGTGGTCAGAGCTAAAAGACCCAGAAGAGTTTAGTCTAGCCAAATTGCACACTGAAATCCATTCTGTGTTAGCAGCGGTAGTGATCATAACAGTTGCCGTTTAACGATGCACTCACTATGTACGTTATGTTCATTGATCTGTAGCGCTCATAACAAACCTACAAGGTAGGGATATTACCTTTGTGGCAGTTTTTAATAATGGCCACAAATTCTTTGATAGTTTTCCCTGCAAAGGGCAGAGTCCCTGTCCCCTGTGGATGGGTGGGAGGACTTATGGCAGTTGGGCTAATAACTGAGTGCAGTGGCAGTGATGCCATGGGACTCTCAGGGTGTGGTCCTCTTACTTGGCACACTCACCTTCAACACTCCTTCTTGGAGCCCAGCCACCCTGCTGTGAGAAGCCCAAGCCCCATGGCGTGGCCAGGTGTAGGTGCACCGTCTGCAGCCCTAGCTGAACCCGGGCCTGGAGTCATCCTGGGTCAGGAGCCAGGCAGACGAGTGATGAGAGCCTGGGTCATTCCAGCCTCCAAACATGCAGCCACCTTCTAGCCATTTGAGTTTTCCCAGCTGAGGTGGCAGATGTGTCGAGACAAGACCATCTGTCCCCTCTGTGTCCTGTGGGAAGCCGCAAACTTAATAAAATGGTCGTTCAGTGCCACTAAGTTTGAGGTGGCTTTTTACACTGCAGTAGATAATCAGAACAAGCCTTATTTTTGACACCCAGGAAAACTGCCTCAAAGAGCTTTGGTGACCTGCCCAGGACTGCACTGTTGGGTCTTTTGGGGGATTCCAGATTTGAAGCCCCATGCTCTTTCTCTGGCATTATACCACCACTGTAAGAGACAGCTCTGTGAGAAGACCTCTTCTGTTTGTCAGAACACTAGAAGGAATCTTTAGAAATCAGCCTGTTTAATCCTCTACCACCAAATTGGCCAACATTGAAACTATTTCATTGTCAAGTAGTGCTTGGTTTCCCTTGATAATGTTCTGGGGGTTTATTCATTCTCTCGCCTAATCCAGGGGTCTGCAAACTATAGCCTGTGGGGCAAATTAGGCCCATTACTCAGTTTTACAAATCGAGTTTTATTGGATCACGGCTATACTAATTTGTTTACTTACTGTCCATGACTGCCTTTGTGCTACAATGGCAATGACCCACAAAACCTCAACTACTTACTATCTGATCCTTAAAGAATTTGTTGACCCCTGTTTGAGGGAAATTCCTCCTGCTGCTTACAGAGAAGGCTTGTCAACTATGATGCTTGGCTCTTGATTGACAAGGCCTGGCTCCTCCAGACACCCAGCTGACGACATCCAGCCAGGTGGCTTGATTAAACTTAATGTGTGTCTCTTGCAGAGAATATAAATTTGGGTCTTTCTTTCTTATCCATTCTGGCAGTGTCTGCTCTTTGATGGGAACATTAATTTCATTCATTTACAATTAGTGGAATTATAGCCAAAGCTGGATTTGTGTCTGCTGTTTTGCTACTTGTATTATATCTTACTTAGGTTTTGTTCCTTTGTTTCTCTTTTCCTGTCTTCTTTTGAGTTAATTAAATGTTTGGTTAAATTTACGGTTTAACATCTCAGGATTTCTTGACTGTTGCTCAGGACATTAAGTCCCACATGCATGGTTGTGAATTCTCTCTAATGGTTTTTTAAAAGCTTATCTCTGCTACTGTCCATGAAGATGGCTATGAAGTTAGCATCCAGCTGAATTACATTCAAGTATCAAACAAGGTGCGTAAGACTTTCAGAAGCTGTTCATTTGAAAAATGACTGAGCTAGTAAATTGTAGCCTATAGTCTATTGAAATGCTTCTGGGTAACCCATGGAAGACATAAGTTTCAAATATTATAAAACTCGACTAAAGGCCAGTAATTTCATAGGATTAGGTAAATAACTGTGCTAAACCTCAGAGAAGTCAGGTTTCAGGCACATAAAGATGTAGTAAGAGTAGGAATTACTGTCGACCCTATCGGTCCTGTGGTTCTCAGGCTTTTTTATACTCACTGAAGTCTGGGTGTAGATGAAAGACCAACAAAAATGTTTGCCTGTTTGTACTTTCACCTATTTGCCTATAATAAGCCAAATTTTGTGGCTATGTCTCTCTTGATCTGCCTCCTTATATGGTGATTGCAACTTTGCTACAGAGCCTTTAATGTGTGGCAAACATTAATTGATTCATACTGGCAGCTTTAGTTTCATTGGGCAAGAAATCAGAATATACAAAAGAATAATGAATGGATTGAGAAGGTGGATGAAGAAGGCCAGGAAAAGCAGGGGAACTAGCATTGATCAGGCCCTGGCCATATGCCCAGCAGGGAGCTAGAAGTGTCTTCAAAATGAGGACAGACATACGGGCACTGCCTAACTCAGAGGCTGGGAGTGTGCAGTGGGCTGACACCCACAAAAGTGCTTTGAAGTCAAGTAAAGTGCTAAATGCCATATTTTCAGTTGTGTGGCCAGAGCAGAGCTTGGGTCAGAGAGGTACTTGAGGAGAAGGGGACTGAGGGACATGAGACGGGGAAGGGGCTGAGTGGTCACACATAAATTTTGGCTTTAGCCTGATCCACGAGGAGCTCTGAAATACGGGTCACACCATGAAGTTGTCCCAACTGAGGCAAGAAAAGGAGGGCTGTAGCTTCTAGGGTAAGGCAGCACCCATCTCTGGAGGCAGTTGGCCAGAGAAGGGAGTCTGCTGTGAGCTGTTAGCAGCCAACCCAGCAGCTGGGAGGGGTAAGCTGATCAGTTAGGGGTATGCTTTGGGTGGGCACCGAGAGCATATATAACGTGCTATCAAGTAGAAGTGGAGTAATTATCTTCGGGTTTAATATGTGTTTTTTCTTAACCTGTGTGTTCTAGTGTTGAGGAAGTAGCAGGTGGTTCCCTGTGGCGGGAGAGGCAACCAGGTGAGGGTGGGGCAGGATGCCACACTGTTGAATCGGTCCAGGTGGATATAGAATTCCAGGTCTGGACCATGTATCATCTATCCTAACTTTATAGGCCTCCATTTTACCTCATTTTACTTTCACAGTATCCCTTTGGGGTAGGCCATAATATTTCCACTTTACAGGTGAGGAACCTGAGGTTCAGAGAAATTAAGCAACTTGCTTCTTCCAAAGTCCCTAAACTAGTAAGTAATAGAACCAGGATTCAAACTCTGTGGCTCGAGTCTCCCCATGATGTCACCCTAATTCCAAGATACAGAAGGGTTTTAAGCAGGGAAAGGACACCAGTACTTACACAGTTTAGAAAGATGATTGGGGCAGCCACATGGAAAGTGGGCTGGCAGGAACCTGTTGGGATGCCCTTGGAGTGATCCTGGCATATGAAAAGGGGCTGTGGCTGTAACAACAGAGAAGAAGGGCTGCACTGAGGAGCCGTTTAAGAGGCAAAATGGACAAAACATTACAGGGAGGGGAGGAGGTGTCAGGAAGGGTGTCCAGGTTCAAGCTTGACTGTGTAGCTAAAGCTGTCATTAACAAAGAGAGGAACAGGTTAACAGGGAGATTGTTCCTTCTGTGGGGACACAGCAGCCTTGTCATTCATGGTGACTAATTGTTTTCATTGTCCAGAACCTTTACCTCAGCAAGGCTGTGGATTTCAGCAGCCACTTCCTGAGCAGTGTCACTGAGGGTGGTAATGGGCCATTTGGCAGCAGGTCCAGCCTGGGTGAGTTGTACCCTTATGGTGACTTTAAAACAATTGACCAGGAGCACACTGACCTGGCAAGGATGGCAGGGAATTGCTTATAATTTTCCAGCCCAATCATGCATCTCACTGTAATGTTCCAACCATTTTATTCTTCTGGTTTCTCTGAAGTCAGGGGTGAGATTTTTCAAGTCTTTCACAGGGCTTGGGGAGATAGGTTGGGGGGGGGTGTTCTTTGGGGCCTATAAACTGTAGTCCCTTTTATTCCTTCCTTCCCACTCATCCTCTGGTCTTAGTCTGGGATGAATGGTTCCAGGAGTCCTTCTTGTGAGGTTCAATCAAGTAGAAATTTCTATAAAAGCCATTTTATTCTTCTGACCTCTTGAGGGGCACAATAGTAGGATAGTTCTATATTATATGTGGGGAGTGGCGGGGGGACATTGTTTTGGTCCTCAACTCTTTGTCATTCCAGTGAGCAACTACAGCCAGAGCACCTCCGATACCACTGAAAACGTCAAGAGGACAAAGAATTTCAAGACCAAAACATTTCAAGAAAAGGAGCAGCTCACAGTAAGTGTACTCCTTTGTCCTCACAGCTGTCTTCTTAGGCCTATCTGTTTAATGTTTTACTTTGAGATTTTTTAAATGGAGGAATACTTTTTCATTTTCTGTGACTTTTTTGGGTGTATTTTTTATTTTATGGAATCCTTTAAAATATGTCAAGATTATTAATTAGAATTAAAGTTCTCATCAGTTTCCTGAATCACCTCTGTCTCCTCTGGGGTCAATTCTGTCTGTCCATCTTTCTCTGTCTTGTTTTTGGTTGGTCTCAAATATGTGATGATCTGTGGTTACCAGGTCATGTTGACAAGTGAAGGGCTGGTTTGCGTAGTGCCAGTGCCTGCCCTGGGTGTGTGGGCCTGAGGTGCCTATGGGGGGGGATGGGCATGCTGTCTCCCTGGAGAGTGTTTGGGCAGAACACAAGAGAATGCCTTGGGGTCCCCTAAGTTGCCTTCCCCCTAGAGGTGAGTCTGTGCTGTGAAGGGCTCTAGAGTGTTTCATTCCTGGATGGGGCTCTTTTTATTTCCTTGCTCTCCTTCCATCTGTGTTGTCATAGAGGTCTGGGCTCTGGCCTTCCTGGGCCCAGTACTCCCAGGAGAACTCTTTGTTAGGCAAATAATTAACTCTCTGGAAAATAGTTATCAGGGTTTAAGCAGAGAGCACAGGAGAGAGGGGAGGACATCACCCAGCTCAGCCCTTCCCTAAAATGCTCATGAATCCAGCCTGCACCCAACACCTGCCCTCCTTGTTGATTAACTCAGCTTCTTCAGGGCTTCCTGGAAGAAACACACTCATATCTCTGGTGTCTTCAACTGCTTTTTCTTTGCTTTGATTTCCCTCTCAGTCAGATTCCACCTACTTTCAATCTTTGGAATTTCTCACGATTCCTGATCCACTGATGGCACTCTTCCAGTTTCCCACAGCTGTTAGAGTTTTGTTCTTCAAAAATATAGAGCATTAACATTTTAACGGGAGCTTTGGAGAAAGGGACAGTGGGTGCCCTTGTTCAGTCCACCACCTTGCCTTTCATTTGGTCCTCTTTGGCTGCAGTAGGAGGACAGATGTGCTTAGCAACAAACCCAAAGCCTGGGTCTCCACCAAGATGGAGATGGGCACAAGTCAGTTCTTCCCTCCACTTTTCGTGAAGCCAAGCCCTCAGGGCATCCTCAGGGGTGCACATACTGGCGCCCAGATTGTTATCATGAGTTCTACAAAGGCAGGTGATTTCTCGCCTCAACTTGTTTTTTTCCACTACATGCTTTACATGTCATAAACACCAATAAATGTGGGAAGAAGACCTTAGAATTGTATTAACTTTTTAAAAAAAAATCTATTTCTCCCTGGCCTTGATTTATTTACTTATTTAATTTATTATTTTTTAATTTTTTAATGTTTATTTATTTTTGAGAGAGAGACAGAGTGTGAGCACCGGAGGAGCAGAGAGGGAGACACATAATATGAAGCAGGCCCTGGACTCTGAGCTGTCAGCACAGAGCCCAACACGGGGCTTAAACTCACAGACTGCGAGATTATGACCTGAGCTGAAGTCAGACACCTAACCGACTGAGGCACCTAGGCTCCCCATTTACTTATTTTATTTAAATCCAAGTTAAGTTAACATACAGCATAAGAATGATTTCAAGAATAGAATTTAGTGATTCATCACTTACTTATAACACACAGTGCTCATCCCATTAAGTGCCCTCTTTAATGTCCATTGCCCACTTAGCCTGTCCCCTGACCCAAGACCTAATAAGCAAACTTCAGTTTGTTCTCTGTATTTAAGAGTCTTTTGTGGTTTGTCTAACTCTCTGTTTTTATCTTATTTTTTTTGCTTCCCTTCCCCTGTGTTCATCTGTTGTGTTTCTTAAATTCCACATATAAGTGAAATCATATGATATTGTCTTTCTCCGACTTATTTTGCTTAGCATAATACACTCTAGATCGATCCACATTGTTGCAAAAGGCAAGATTTAATTCTTTTTGATTGCCAAGTAATATTCCATTATATAGATATACCACATCTTCTTTATCCGTTCATCAGTCAATGGACATTTGCTTACTTTTTCCATACTTTTACTTACTCTTTCCATACTTTTGCTATTGTCAGTAGTGCTGCTATAAACGCTGGGGTGCATGTGCCCCTTTGAATCAGCATTTTTATATCTGTTGGGTAAATACCTAGTAGTGCAATTGCTGGGTCATAGTTCTAGTTTTAATTTTTTGAGGAACCTCCATACAGTTTTCCAATTTGCATTCCCACCAGCAGTGCAAGAGGGTTTGTCTTTTTTTTTTTTTTTTAAGGGTTCTTCTTTCTCTGCATTGTCACCAACATCTGTAGTTGCCTGAATTGTTAATTTTAGCCATAGAACTATATTAACTTGTATTGCTTATGATTCCTTATACTCTTGGCCTTCTCCCAGTTTAAGTATAAAGTTCCATAAACTTTAACAGTTTTCGAGACTCCACCTGCTTATTTTATGTGTGACCTGAATCCCCCATTGTTATGTGCCTTTATTTTCTCATTTGTATTTAGGGGATAAGTATAAGAAAATAATAACAGCATTCAGTGGTTCACTCATTCAGCAGTTATTTTGAGCACACATGCACCAGGCACAGTTTTTGGTGATAAAAATAAATTGTGAACAAAAGATATAAAAGTCTCCGACCTCATGAGGTTGACATTCAAGTGCATTCTAGTATAGTTTTCCATAAGGAATGGAATTCAGCCAGAACAAGTGTGTCCCCCAAGACTGCCTGGGGTTTCACTTGTTAGAGTACATTGTTCCAAGCTAATCACTCTAGAATGGGGGCAGAGGGGACATAGCCTGAACCCGGCATCTTCTCCTGAAAGGCTCAGAGGCTTGACCAATGCCCTCATCTCTGACTTCCCAGAGAGCCAGGAGGGGGGTAGATATTATTTTCACTATGCATACAGGAAACTGGGAGTCCCAGAACCATCCCAAGTCACCCTCAGATCCATTGATAGAAACACACTGAAAGTAATGTCTCCAGCTTTCTAGACTGCCTCTTCAACCTTGTGGCAGCCAGCATTTGAAATCCTTTATATAAAGATTGTATATAATGATGAATTTCATCATATTTTGAAAATAGAGAAAGGATAATAAACTCTTCAGATTTCTGATGATAAATGAGAGCTTTTAACCCCCAAACAAGAGTTGACTTTATCGGTTCACTCATGTGTCGGGTGAGCGTGTTTTCTGGATAGTCATACTTAGGCTGATTCTGAACACCTTATATAGCATGCAGGGTGAATTGTAGGATTCACCCGTTTGCTTTTCCTAGGAATATTTGTTTTCCTTTGTAATAAAACTAGTGTGGGGTTTCTGGGTTTTTGTGAGGTTTCTCATTGCATCCCTGTCCTTAATAAATATAAAACAATGTCCCCAAATATAAAACCTTTCCCAAGACAAGGTTTCAGAGACCAGCAAGCTTTACATTAGCTGGGTTTATTTGTGTTGCTGGCTGTCAAAGATCACACACACGCACTCACAGACACACATGCATGCACTTGCTCACACTCACCTGTCCCTGGGACTCAGAACTTAACCTTGGAGAGGAGGCATTTGCCTTGAGGGTTGAGTTCACACAAGTGGGGCAGCAATATTTTGTGGTGGTGGAAATGACTGTGTTGTATAATCCTACAGCCTGAAAACAGGCTCCTGCTGAAGGAAGTGGGACCGACAGGGGAAGGAAGAGTCTCTGTGATTGAACAGCTGCTCGATGAGGTGAGTACATCCCAAAGAAATCTCTCTGAGGATTTCAGCCTCGTGTTTCACCTGGGTCTCTTTCATGTGGAAGTCTTGTTCAGTACTGGGATCATCACAGGGCCATTTCATTTTAAACTGGAAGTGGATTAACTGGCCAGTCCAGAACTTTACATTAATTGTTATTGGTTGCTAGTTTTTATAGCAGAGAAAATATACCGAAAAGTCATATGAGCCCAAATAATGTGCACAAAGGTGGACAGAATCCCTGGTCTGTGACCCCATGTGACCTTTTTTCCTAAAGAAGCAAAGTTGTCTGGGTGCCTGCCTTCCTGATGAGGACAGCACAAGTTCTATGGCACCATGACCCGCAGCTCTGTTATAGGTCAGATCTTAGGTTTCCTGATGTTCCTTTCTTTTGATGGAAAGCTTATTTGTTACACTTCATAGGACGGCAGGTGGTTGCTGCTGAGAGCAGGGCTTTGTGGCAAGTTTGTCCTTTTCCTTATGCTGCAGGGAGCAGATCCCAACTGCAGGGACAGTGAGGAGCGACCCCTTATAACCATGGCTGTTGTGAATAAGCACCACGAAGCGATTCCGGTTCTTGTGCAGAGAGGAGCAGACACCGAGCAGCGGTGGGGACCGTAAGTAAGACACAGTAAAAGGGCAGCCCTGGCAATGTCGCAGCCAGCTGTGACCTTGCATGTGTGCCCTGTTCAATTTGAACCAGTCAGGAACCATTTTTAAACCCATCTGGGCCTTAATCAGAGACTTAAGCTTCTATTTCCCAAATCTAGGGAAAACAAAGATTTTTAAATGGACTATTGGATTGCCTGATTTTTTGTAGCTTTTATAAAGGATACATTTTGTTAACTCATGAATTTGTACTGTTGTGGGGCCGGCAAATCCTTTGCCCTTGGGATGTCAGGTGACATTTTCATCATGATCTGAGCTGTTGACATCCATAAGAGAGGAGTGGCCCCAGTGTATTCCCTGTGGAAATGTACCCATGAAATTACTGCAGAAAGAAAACCTTATCTGTCTGTCTCTGGATGCTGACACCCTGGGGGCGAGCCTGCACACGAGAGTTCACCACATGATTTGATGAAGCAGGAGGACGATACCAAGTCCTGTTGGGTGTTTCTGTCATTTCCCTAGTCTCAGGGCTGTCCTGCCTCTTGACTTCTCCCAGCTTCGTGATTCTGTTGTTCTCTTGCAAATTACAGCAAAACCTGGGATAGTGAATAACTATGTTCTGCAAGTGTGCCGCAACATGAGCAAACATTTCTTATAAATTTTAACTTGATAAACTAGTGATGTCTTATGATACGAGTAGTACATGATGCCAGATGTCACATGATCACAACTGAGTTAGTGGTTCTTGAAATTCACTTTGATATACAAATGCTTTGGATAACAAGCATGTTTCTGGAACGAATTATGGTCACAAACCAAGAATTTACTGTACTTTGGAAAGGTGGGGTGGAATGTTCCTTGAGGATGGGTTCCATATGTTAATTGCTTATATCCTGCCAAACAAGTTGCCAAACTAGAAGTTCTCCAGGGGTCCTGCAGATATCTGACACTGCTGCCCCCGAGTTATTTCTGAGACCAGATTGAGGCCCCGTCAGAGCATCATGCAGCCAGCACAGGGGTCCAAGAGTTAAATAGCTTTGCTTCTGGCTTTCTCTGTCTCAAAATCTCCTCTAGTGTTTTTATTAAAAATATATCCCTGTTGGGGCTCCTGGGTGGCTCAGTCGGTGGAGTGTCTGACTTCGGCTCAGGTCATGATCTCGCAGTTTATGGGTTCGAGCCCCGCATCGGGCTCTGTGCTGACAGCTCAGAGCCTGGAGCCTGCTTTGGATTCTGTGTCTCCCTCTCTTTCTGCACCTCTCCTGCTTGTACTCTGTCTCCCTCTCAAAAATAAACAAACATTAAAAAATTGTTTAAAAAATATATATCCCTGTTAATTTTTCTATGTGTGCTTTTATAAGTTCTGCCCAATAGGACAGCTATATCAAGACATGACCCCGTTTTTAGCAGAATGTTTGGCACACTTGGTATACATATTTAGTGGCTGGCATTTACTTGCTCACCTTTTCAGGATTCACATTCTTCATACTTTGTCAGCTTCTTCATTTACCCACACTCATTATTCATAAAAATAATGTCACCTTGTTAAGGTATACTTTATATTTGCACAAATCAGATAAGCTTTTCTTGGAGCACTTACGTATAATGTATGTGGTTGATACAAAATCTCTTAAGCAGATTTTGAATTGATGCTTATGTATAAGGTGTCCTAGCTTTATGAAAAGTCCAGCTGAGAGGAAGAAACTACTCTGGACACGGAACAGATTACCTGTTTTTTCTTGGTGTTCCTCAGTTTCCATTCTTGCTTCATTACCATTCTATAAATCGACATTCATCCACACGCAATCCCGTTGCGTTGCTACTAACTTTCTGCTCGTACCATCTGTCTGAACAGTGTGTGATAGCCCGTTGTCTCTCCCACTGCATTAGCCCGGTTAGCAGAGTTTAGCTCCATGGAGGGGGAGGGAGGAAAGCCAGACCAGAAGCCCTCCCTCAAAATAGAGCACAGAGATCTCTTCTTCCATTTTAGTTTATGCCAATAGAAGAAAGCAGATTTTTCCACCAGGAGCCAACTCTGTTAAGTCTGGTTTATAATTGTTAGTTCTAAGTGTTGAGACCTGGGTCAGCCTGGCTTCTGCTCCACAGCTGGACCTCTATACATCCGGGAACATGACCTCAAGACTCCAACCATTCTACTGCTCTTCATGCACAAGCCATGGAGAGATCTGGCTTTCCTGTAAAAGAGGCTCAGTGAGTTGTTCCTTAGCAAACAAGGATTAGAAAGCTCTTCCCCACCCCCTCCCCCAACCCCCACCCCTACCCCTGCCCCAAGCTTGTTTGGCTAGGGGAAAGAAGCAGTCAAGGTAGTCTCTATGCAAGGTAACTCCTGTCAGGTAGCTCAGTGGGTAGCAGAAAGCCCCGCCTTAGTGTTTCTGTTTCCAATGTTTGTATCTTTCCTACCAGAATACACTCATATTCAACCCAAAGGGATGGCTAAGGCGAAGTACGCATTCTTCACCAAAGCCGATACCTCTTATGGGCAGATTTCACAAACACAGATTCAAGGTCTCACTAGGAGAGGGGCAAAGCAAAGTGCCATTTGCGTTTGGACAACAGCTGCCCTCCTTCACTGGCAGTTTCAAACATTTCATCCCTTAGCTCTGCCCCAGTAGCCAGGAGGGACAAATGTAACCATCAGTCTGTTTCTTAGAGCTTCAACTGAGGAGATTTATTCTATTAGGTAATTCACAATTTACAAAGAAAGAATGTGCCTTCATCCTCCCTGATACTTAGATTCGAATAAACAGTTTGAGTTGTTTGTGCATTAATAGTAAAGTTTCTTTAAAGTACAAATTCACAGGGGGTGCCTGGATGGCTCAATTGGTTAAGCATCTGACTTCGGCTTAGGTCATGATCTTGCAGTTCGTGGGTTCAAGCCGCACATGGGCTCTGTGCTGACAGCTAAGAGCCTGGAGCCTGCTTCAGATTCTGTGTCTCCCTGTCTCTCTACCTCTCACCTGCTTGCACTCTGTCTCTCTCTCTCTAAAAAAATAAACATTAAAAAGAACTTAAAGTACAAATTCACAGAACATCATACTGTACCTGCTGTACAAAACACGTTCTAGAAGGTCTGGTAATATAGTACCAAGCTGTTCAGAGGAACAGATTTGTAGGGTATCACCTCTACTCTGAAGCATGGGGTCCTGATAAGAGGGTATTCCATCAAGTGCCATTGCCATGTTGGAGTTGTGTTGAGGGGCGGTGTACAAAGTTAGAGTTGGCAGTCACAATTCATTACTTTCAAAAACTGAACCGTGGTTATACAGAAAATCTAACCACGGCACCCCCTCCCCACCTAGTAAATGGAATGCATAGTAAATGGAATGCATGTTCTCTCAGTTGAGAGGGAGTCACGAAGGAAGAAGATCATACGTCTTCTCAGGAGATATGGCAACTCCATGAATGTATGCAGGTTCCAATGGTAAATGCCATATAAAGACCCAAGGAACTTGAGTGGTGAAGTGACCAACAGTTGAGCCCTATACTACCAGGGAGAAAGGAAAGATGAAAGATAAGGAGGGGGTCAGTGTCATTGGTGTGACTGAGACATCCATTGTCCGTGTGCCCATAGCATCCTGCATTGCAACTGCTTTAGCAGGATGATTTTCTTCCCCCCAAACAGGCTCCGAAATACAGCTCTTCATGAAGCGACCCTCCTTGGCCTGGCGGGAAGGGAGTGCATCGCTGCTTTACTGCGGTATGTTCCCGGCCTCTGGGGGAGACTTCTGAGGGCCCCAGCGATCCCCCTGCTGACTATGATGATTTCAGAAGGCCCCAATTCCTGAACAGTTAACTCTATGAATGGGGGCCACCATCCCACCATGGGTCCCCAGCACTGAGGGCTTCTAAAAGGACAACGAAAATACCCACACACCCACCCAACACACTTGGTTGTAGGACTTTGATGCAATGGAAGCCAATGGCCAGGATTGGCAATTGAACGTGTTGAAATCACAGAGCCCCTCAAAAGGTCTCAGGGTAGAGCCACCCTTGAGAGTGAGAGTCATGGTGGCCTCTTGGGGACGGGTGTAGGAAGGTCGGTCTGAGAGTCTCCCAGACGGGCCTCTGTGTCAGGGAAGAGCCATCCTTGAGTTCAAGCACCTGAGTGCCTCTATTCATGCCTGTTTCCTTGGCAGATGCAATGCAGGCATCCAAAAGAAGAACACGAATGGCCAGACGGCATATGACCTGGCTCTGAAAACTGGGGATGAGGTCATCACCTCACTCTTTGCTGCTAAGCTCCGCCTGGATGACTCTTAGACCCAAGAGCCTGCGCGGGACCTGATTTCAAGAAACCATCCAGCTCTAGCTGTTCTTTGTTTCTTTCTGAGATGTGTTATTTGTGGTTTGGAAATTGAGGTTGAGAGGAACGCATAAGATTTTTTTTTTTTTTTTAATATGACAGTGTAAGCCACCATGTGGGCATTTCCCAATATGCTCTGGATGGTGACGAATTTAACATATGTTTTTTAAAGGGTCTGTTGCTGCTTATTTTGGAATTTTCTTTAAAATTTATTTTTCAATAGATAATTGCACATGGTTCAAAGCTAAACAGTATGAAGTGTTAAGTAGTAAAAACTCTGCCATCCCTGTCCCACAGCCACCCACGTCCCCTCCTCAGAGGCTCCAATGATACCAGTGTCATCTGCGTCTTTCCAGAAATAGTAGAGGATTATATAAGCACATGTGCGTAATATATGCATATGTACATATAGGGTATGTATAAAATACAAATACAGAGAACAGATATATTCTTTCTCCTCTTTTAAGACAAGTACTAGCAAACTACACACCCGTCTGATGTTTTACATCTTGTTCTGTTCCTTAATATCTCTTATAGGTGGTTCCAAATTAGTACATTAAGATTAACTTTATTTAAAGACTTTCATTTCTAATGTGAAATATTCCTATTGTTGTGGTTTGTTTTCCGGTTGACAAACAAGCTTTGAATAAGCCCATGTGCAGGAATGTGCAATTTTGACTCACTCATTTTTTCAGACTGTTATTTCAGTCTTTGGGTGATAACGCTGCAGTCGTGGAGTCCCTAAATAGTTCCCGTTAAACTATGTTGACAGAGTATCTGTTAGTTTAGAATGAGTAATTCAGCACAATAAATAATAGAACTGGTTGAGTGGTTGCTGTTATCACTACCTGCACTTCCTTTCCCGAGATGGTGACTGCGGGAGGACAGGCGCAGAGTCTCTGGGAGCGAAGCCCCCGCATGGGGTTTGGGGGCACCGGCACTGGCTCTCCCCTGTCCGACTCGGCCGGCCGTCTTTGCTGTGGGGGCCACTGCAAGGTAACCAGTGTCCTGAGAGACCCGCGGAGCATGGTCAGGTGGTTTGATGTCAGGGCTGGTTTGCACTGTCAACCTGGCTGTATGATACAACCTTTCCCAGACTTCTCTGCCTTTATGGTTCAGCTCAGGGTTGGCTGCAAGAGTCACTGCACCAGGTTCCAGATTCCCGAGGTGGAAGTGAAGCCGCAGCCATCACACTAGGAGGGTGGGTTAGGGCTCCAGACGCTGCCACAGCTCACACCCTACAGGCTCTGGAATCAATCCTGCAGGAGGAGGGTACAGAGTTCAAGACTATTTTCCCCAGAGCTCAGGGAGCAGGGAAGGCCCAGAGGACCCGTGGGTTCCAGAAACAATCCTCTTAGAGCTCTCAGGGGTCACTTTCATACCCTGAGCGCAGGATCCACATCTCTACTGTTCCTTGGGCTTCCACACTTCCTAGGGGAGGGTCCTGCCCTCTACCCGAGCAGCAAAGCACAAACCTGACCTCTCGTGCCTTTCACTAAAGCCCACCCACAACCTAAATTACCCTTGAGTTTCACTGCTTCAGAATCAAACCTCATTTACAAAGTGAACAGGTGGCTGAAGATTCAAGAACATAGTTTCAAATCCAGGAACTTTCTGATAAAATCCTATAGGGTTATGTAAAACATTACATAAACATTGAACAACATGTTTTCGGGAAAAATAAAGTGAAACACCTGTTTCAGGCAGGGCCTTTCTGATTTCAAAATTCATGTTATTTCTTGTCCTTTGTGAAGTTTTTGTTTTTTCCTCGTGCCACTGTATCAGGGCTTGATACGGGAGAACCACCATAGTGACGCTGAGTGAGGGGTTATTAAAGGAACCGGGCCGCAGCAGTCGCGGGGGTGAGTGAGGCTGGGCCTGCGTGGGCCTGGAGCCGCCGTAGCTCAGCAGGGCCGCAGCGCGGAAGGAAAGGTGGGCTCCAAGTGGGATGAACGAGGACAGACTGGAGCCCGCAGGCCCAGTCCTCCCCCTCTCTCCTCTTGGTCACCGGTGGCTTGCAGCAGCTGCTGGCACCCTTCAGCAGGGAGCTAGCTCCAGGTGTCCCAGGCTGGACTCTCCAGGAGCAGACCTGAGATGCTGAGGGACGAGAGACAGAGGAGAACGCATGTTCATAGGGCATCAGCGTTTGTGGAAGGAAGAAGGAGGTGGTGCAGCAGAAGTCACTTCAGATGCAGCCCCCGCAAGCTGCAGCCGACTGTGGGTCGGGGTGCTGGAGAGGAGGATTGCCCGTCATCCCACTGTGCCTGGACAGCTGTAGTTCAGTCGCTGGTTGACAGCTGTCCCAGGAAAGCTGTGACTTCAGGCCAGGAAGCTCTCTGAAGTTGCTAATGGCTGGGGGCGGCCCGCTGCCCTGTCTGCTGCTTGCACTCCCTACCCCCAGGTGGTCAGCCCTGCCTGCGGGGCACGTGGATGGTGCATCTCTGTGTGTTCCATGGAACTGCCCTTCCCACCCTGGCTGCTGGAAGGAGGTCTGGCGGGAGCTGTCCGCATGCACCAGCAAGCCTGCCACCGGGATGCGAGGGAGGGCAGCAGTGACCCTGATCGCAGAGCCCCCACCCTGCAGGCTCAGCTCAGGCCCGGTGGTTGGTGCTCAGGGTGCTGCTGGGCCCCAGATGGGGTGAAAATCAGCTCACTGTCCATTGGTTGGTGGCTCAGGTCACTGTGACCTTCCTACATCTGGACCCACTTCCAACAACTCCCAAGGCCCAGCCGCTCCTGTTGGAGGACCTATCCTTGCTTTGTGGCTTTGTCCCCACATCCCACAAGGCTCCAGTGGCCTGGAGTTTACCATTACCCTCCTTACCATCAAGGTGAATGCATTCCCACGTGTTTATCGACCAATTTTCCTTGTTGATTTGGAGAGGTGATTTATATCCTCTAGAATCAGAGTGTAATTCTAGACTCTAGAGCAGCGGTATCAAATGGAAATACAACGCTGGCCACATAAATGTTTTCTAGCAGCCAAATTTAGTTTCTGCTGATTCCTAACTTACTACAATTTGTAATGGAATGAAAACTGCATTGGGCACCTGGGTGGCTCAGTCGGTTGAGCAACCGACTCTTGGTTTTGGCTCAGGTCATGATCCTGGGGTCTTGGGATTGAGCCCCGTGTCAGGCTCCATGCTAGCTTAAGATCCCCCGCCTCTCTCCCTCTGCCCCTCTCCCCACCTGTGCTCTCTCTCTCTCTCTCTCTAAAAACAAACAAGCAAAATGAAAACACTGTATGTTAATGATTTTCAGCATCCACTAAAATAAAATTTTTCCCATGAGTAACATTGATAGTATGTTTTTGAATCAAGCCTTCATTGCTGAGATGAATATAATACATTCTTACTGAATTCCACTCCTGGATTTTATTTGCTAACAATCTGCTTGTTATTAAATGAAACTGACCTCCATTTAGTTTTGTTATTTGTTTGGAACCAAAATAATGCTAGACTCACAATGTTACAGCCTTCCGGTTTTTTCCCAGTACTTTAGAGAGGTTTATGAAACACAGGACTGAATTATTTTGTGCAGATATGATAGAAGGCTTTCAGTATAACTCAGGGCTTTATGATTTTCAGTCCTAAATCTTTGTCCTCTGTATCAGGGCTCACACCAAGAAGCAGAACTAGTAGGAGATGTGTGTCTAGAGACTTGTCACAAGACACGGGCTTAGGTGGTTGTCGTGCTGACTGGGCAAGTCCAAAGTCTCAGCGTGGGTGTCCGGAAGGGCGGCCTGCAGCTGTGGCCTTCTTCTCCAGGGAGGTCTTCATTTTCTACTTCAGGTCTTTCAACTGAATCAGGCCAACCCAGACCTGCTAGGATGATCTCCCTTTCTTCAAGTCAGTTGACCATGAACTTTAATCACACTGCAAATACCTTCCCAGCAACACCTGAATTAGCGCGTGAGTGAGGGCTGGAGCGCAGGCAAGTCGACACATTAAAAGAAGCCCATCGCAGCCTCCATCACAGTGTCATGGATTATTTCTTCGTTTTTTCTACCCCCACTTGAATAAAATCGGTAATACACACATGTGCATCTTGTTTCCCTTTTTGTATAAGGCTATACATTTTTTTTCTGCCAGTTGCATGGGTTTTGGGGTCATAAGATTTTCATTATACTTCTTTTTTGTTTTTATATTTAGATTTGGTTGTTAACCCCTCCTTTGGCCGCCACTATTTCAATAGGTATGGAAGTGGAGCCACTCGCAGCGGCAAGAGCCTCGCCCTCTGCAAAATACCAGAGTAGTGAGGGTTACCCAGAGCTTCACTGTTCTTTCAGGCAAGGCTGAACCCTCCTCTCCCCACTCCGCCCCACCTGGTCCCCAAACGTGACCTCTGAGAAGGACCAGAGTGACCTAAAATTCAAGTCTGCTTCACTGTCAGACCACTAACCCACCGCTGGGACCTCTCCTGGGGGAGGGGAGGGGAGGGGAGAGGAGAGGAGGGGAATGGAGGGTCCCCACGTTTCCAGCTGGATGGTAATAAATGGCTCAATTTTTAGATGAATTACTCCCAATGCATTTGGAGCCTCAGAAATCCTACTTCTCACCCAAGCTCTGAACACGAGAAATTTTATTCTTTTCTACCCCAAACCCTTCCCCCACTTTATCCTTCATCTGCTCAGTAGAGACATCCTTTCCTCCATCAAATGGGAGAAGGGAAAGAGGCAATCCTTGGGAGTAGTTCCCAAACCATTTCTGATTTTGGCAGTAGAGAGAGGTGTTCTCAAATATAATTTTCTTCCTTCCTTTTTTTTTTTTTTTTTTTACTGTTTATTTTATTTTTGAAAGAGAGTAAGAGAGAGAGAGTGAGAGTGGAGGAGGGGCAGAGAGAGAGAGACACACAGAATCGGAAGGAGCTCCAGGCTCTGAGCTGTGAGCACAGAGCTGGATGCGGGGCTGGAACTCACGAACTGTGAGATCATGACCTGAGCTGAAGTCGGATGCTT